AGGGTAGGGGAGAGCACCACCTCCCTTGGGAGCCTGTTCCAAACCTCAGCCACTCGAACTGTGAAGAAGTTCTTCCTAATGTCCAGTCTAAATCTGCTCTCTGCTAGCTTGTGGCCATTATTTCTTGTAACCCCCGGGGGCACCTTGGTGAATAAAACCTCACCAATTCCCTTCTGTGCTCCCGTGATGAACTTATAGGCAGCCACAAGGTCGCCTCTCAACTTTCTCTTGCGGAGGCTGAAAAGGTCCAGTTTCTCTAGTCTCTCCTCTCTTTTGGTTGTGGAAATGACCATTTTGCCAAATTTTGCAGACGAGCCAAATGCCAGTGGCATGAAAGCAGCTGAAACAAGATCACCAGTCTATGCGTGATCTATGTACTTCCCTGTTTTCCACCCAGCCCAGAGATAGGCTTTGCCAGGCGGCAGCAGGGGCCACGATGTCAAGAGCTACCGGGTTCTGGTCCTTCTGGAGACCTTTCCCAACCCCTCCTGGGACTCTGTACATGCCCCTCTTCATTTTCTGTATCTCACTCCAGTCCCCTCTGGGACCTGGCCTCATGCATCATCAGGTTTAACAGTGCTTTGCCAGTCATCCATCTCCATCTCCTTACATCTATGTGATTTTGAGGAGTGGCCATCAGAGCATGGCTCAGGGTTGCCCCACTCTTGCACAAGGGTCTGCACCCTTGGCTCCCCTTGTGAGATTGTGCATTTAGCTTTATATGTTCCACTTATCATCAGGTAATACTTCATTCATTCCTCGGTGAAGCTATCACAGCTGGGCAAAGCATTTCCTGTGACACGAAAGCATGATGAGCCAATTTCAGCTAGGGTTACTAGAGCGGTCAGAGCTATACCAGGGGAGAATTTAATTTGATGGGCGGCAAGAAGGAGCGATGGAGAGACTGAGATGCGAATCACCATGTTGCTGATGGTTAGATGAATGAATAGCTCTCATTGCAATGCTTATGATTGTCCCCAAACTGGCAGGGCTGTGTGACAGCAAGCACAGATGTGTGATAACCTGCGACAGTGGGTGCGCCTGCATGAGTAGTGGAGGAAGACAGAAAGGCATGTCAGATCATCTCATGGGTTTTTCTTTCTCTTGATTCTAGGGTTTACCTGGAAATCCAGGGGAACGGGGACCTCCTGGAAAGCCGGTATATAATTTTACTTTTATGCGAAACCCCAAACAGTTTGCACCCTGCTTTTCTCCCTTTTATCTCTGCGCCTAGCTAGACTGCCTCCCTTACAGCAACAGCTAACTGTAACATCCCTGCTGGGCAAACAGCTGGGGAAGCACTGAAAGTGCAGGTTTATGGTAGGAGCATCCATGATAGAGTGGTTTGGATCACTAGAAAACTAAGTGAGCCAAAGGCAAAAGCCAAAGCCCCTAGTAGCAATCTGTTAGCTTTGGGATATAATACACTCCAGCAAAACTCTGTCCTGTATCTGCAGTGCCCTGATACTATGGATTTAATTTCTAATGCAATGGTCCAGGGGTATATTTGACTATCTGAGCAATGGACAGCGCAAAAAAAAACAGGACTGTAGCACAGGGCGTCTTTCTGCAAGTTTACCGGCAGCATCTCCCTTGATAAAATCCCTTGTTTGAAACGGCAGTAAATAATGAACTTTTCTTTTCGCAGGGTACTTCTCCCTTGCTTACTCCTGAAGACATCAACCTCCTAGTCAAGGTAAGGCCTTGATATCAGCTGGGTAGGGAAGGGTTGTTTTATTCGTTAACCTGCAGAGTCTCAGCTTTGCGTGCAAAGAGTATGCCTGAATGTGGTAAGCAGGGAGCAGGTTTGCAGTTTGTGCTCCACCCAACTACTCTGTCCATGTGCAATGGGGGATGTGATACAAGCCGAGGGGGATGACGCCGTGGTGAAACTCATTCCAGCAAGCCCCTGAAGTGCATTGGTTCATTAGGGGCTTCACAGGCTGGTGTGTGTTTGAACTGCCCAGGAGCTATTATTTTAACATCTATTGGGGCCTGAACTGGATTGGACATTTCCAAGCAGACTTGTGCAAAGCAAGGAAGCCAAGGCTATCTGAAACAGCTAAATAAAGTGGCCTCATTTTTTCAGTGTGCCAGAAAACCCACACCTGGCCCTGGGCTGCGGGTGCTCAGCACTTCTTGAAAATTAAGTCCCTCTGCAGTAAGTGTCTGGATGGGGCCATAAGTGGCTAGTGCTGGACACCCAAGTTTGAAAATGTCAGTGCACATGTTTGTTCCTGCTAAGCCACGTAGATGGCATCAGGGGATGCAATTCAGGATTCGATACTGAGCAGCTACACAATCTTTACAGATTGCCATGGGCACAGTGGAGAAATGTTCAAGCAGTCTCAAGACAAGAAATCTTTATGCGTCAATTAAAAGGCATAGAAAAATGCCTTGCCTGCTGGCTTCTTTAATTCTGAAAAGGGTGCTTTCATAGTTGCTGCTGTGACGTGAGCCCTGGTTTCTATGCAGCAGCTCTCTTGTCAGCAGATCCCAGGTGTCTTAGCCCAGCATGTGTGGCCTGGCATCTTTCAGTGTTGTAATATTGCCTGAAGACTTCAGCTGAGACTCATGTCATTCTTCTAGATGCTGGACAATTAGCACATAGAGACAGATCCTGCCCTATAGGACTTTTCTTCTAAAAAGATGGGTGACAGGAGTAACTGAGCGTCAGCAAGATCTTGCTGAAGGCTATACCATGTTAAGCCATTGGCAGATCCAGAACTATAACCAATGTCTTCCAGTCCAGTGCTTTTTCTATTGGACTGCCCTGCCTGTCTATAGAGAGGAATCACATCACCCCAGCATTTGTGGGAGTAGATAGAAAGAACACCTTACAAAACTAATGCTCCAGAGGACATTGGAAGGAGATGGAGTATAATTCCCCCATGCTGGAAGCTGGCCAGAGAATTTTTAGGACCATGAGTAAGTAGGGCGTCCTTCTCCCTTGAATTGTAAACCACCTTCTACTATGGGTTCAGTGATGAGTAGGAGTACAAGTACCCCCTTCTAAATAACCCACCCTGATGCCTGCAGTGGTGGACTTTCTCTGTTGACCTGATTAAGCACCGCTTTTGAGAGTGGATGAAACCCTGTTTTGGATCTTCCAGTCAACAAGAAGGCACAGTCTTCTTTTGTAGCTCTACTTCATGTCTCCTCTGCTTCTGCTGTCTTCTCATACCATACCAGAGGAGACGCACCATGTCCCCTCTGCTTCTCCTGTCTCCTCCTGTCTGCGGTCCCACACTGGATGATCAGCTATGACTTCCCAGCTATGACTATCCCCCCCCACACCGGTGCTGTGACATACTTCTGAAAGTGTGACCACCTGGCAGCCCAAAGGTGCAATTGTAGCTCATGCAGCAACAGACCTAAGCTAGTGTGAAGCTACCATGGGTCCTGATAGTAGTGCAGGTGTGGTAGCAGCAGCTTCTGCATGGCTGTAGGACCTACTGGGACTTGGGACAAATCTTTGATGACCTCCCCATACCGAGTTCTGTGCTTAAATATTTGAGACCTGAGTTAAGGTTAGCTCAGATAGACCTACACCAGCTGCAGTCACACCTTTGGTCTGTAATGCTGACAAAGCCAAGGCCAATGTGAACAAAGACCGCATGCACACGTGCTGCGTGCACACAGCACACCCTCCTTCCTTGGTTCATGTTGAATGTCAGGACTGGGCTCATTCTCCATGTGCTCCTTTTCTCATCATCCCCTTTTCTCTCCTAGGATGTGTGTACAGACTGCCCACCTGGCCCGCCAGGGCTCGCAGGAATACCAGGCTTCAAGGGTGATAAAGGTCTGCGAGGGCCTCCTGGGAGAGATGGCCTGGATGGGAAAACGGTGAGTCCTGGGGAAAGGCATGTTGTGTGGGCTCATTTCTATAACTGTGTTAACCTTATTTTACCAGAATGTCTTTCTACCTGTTTCCATAGTGACAGCAAGGTCCTGGGTACTTCGTAGGCAGGTCTGAAGCCCAGGGACTGGATTCCAGCTTCTGCTGCTGCCCGTTTACCCTGCTTTGGTAGCACAGGCAAGCTACAGGGGACACAGTCTGGAGCAGCACCAAGCTGGGGCATGCAGTTTTACCCTGGCTGTCGATAGCCTGAGTGAGAGGGGCAATGACTGAAAAGCCGTGTCCTTCAAGGATTCAAGACTTAATGTTATGTGGGGGTCTGCTGCCCTGAGCAGTCTCAAATCCAGGAGCTACAAAGATGGCTCTGCCTCACTCCCTCCTCCTCTGCTGCTCCTCTTACCCATTGAGTAGGGGGTGCCACTACTGCCAGCAGAGGCTTTTCAGTTGTGCCCAGGAAGGAGAGAAGCAGTGTGCTCACACAGGGTGGGATCAGGGAGCAAAAGTGGGATCAGGTCGCAAAAGAGGCTAAGTAGCATGAGTCTTAGCATGACAAAGGGTGGGCAAAGTACTGTCCACGGGCTTACTGGTGACTTACTGTGCCCTTCTGATCTTGTAAGATGAGAATGTGATTAAGTTCTTCTTAACCCAATGCTTGCTTTTTATTGTAGGGGGCTACTGGTCCCAGAGGTCCACCAGGCCCTCCAGGCCCAGATGGTCTAAAGGTTAGTTATGCCCTTTGGTCGATATCCTGAAAATCGACTCTGGTTTTCATATAGGTCAAAAGTTGAAGCAACACACAGATGGACTGCATTTTTGTGTGAAGAGGCAAAACTTAAGTGAGACAGACGTGGTAGACTGACTCTGCCAGGGAGTGGGAGCGGGAGTGAGAATTTCATCCCCAGAGGGCAGAACCGCACAGCCTGTTCCCACAGGGTGTGCCTACACGTTCATTAAAAGCACTGTAGTTACTGCGCATTAAGTTTAGTATTTGCATGACCAAGTACTAAATCAATGCACAGTAACTGGCACGGCTGTGCAGCAGTGCCGGCACACGGGCTTTTACAGGCACTAACAGAGTAGTAGCCTAATGCTACCATGCAGTAGTGTATTAGCACAAGTTTTGCCCGGCACACTACTGCGCAGTGTTACTTGGCTACTACACAGTTAGCGTTTCATGTAGATGCATCCGCAATGTGGTATCTCACTCACCATTGCCTTGTTTATAAAGAGCCTTAAGGGGATTTAACCCTCGACTCCAAAGTTTATCTCTCTGGATATTTTGCTCAAGCAAGGGCTGTAAGATCAGGGGCTTTCTTTAAATAAGTAAATAGGCATCATTACTTTAAGTGTGTAAATATCTATTCTTGTCGATGTAGATCCAGATGGGGTAAGCTTTAGCAATAGAAATCCTGTGCAGTTCCTTCTCCATGTTGTGCGGGCCAGGAGCGACCCGAGCCCTTTTCCGCGCTGCACGCGGGCTGTGGCCAGCAGCCCGGGCATGCCAGGTCGGAGAGGGAAGGCCGTCGAGCTGGAATTAGGCACAAACGTGTAGTGGTAGTTTTAAAGATTGTTTACTTACACTGAGATGGCAGTGGTGTAGGCTGGAAAACTTGCTTGAGTTGCGGTTACAGACAGACAACAAAATAAAACTCGAACCTGCAGGGCACGAGGGTACGTCGCAAAGGGTTCTGGCGACGGGAAGATACATAATACGAGGGTACGTCGCAAAGGGTTTCGGCGATGGGAAAAATAAACCTGCAGGACTCGAACCCGGGTAGAAGAGCTCTGAGATCGGTCAAGGATTCACACAAAGTTTGCTAGGCTCCGTGGGTCCGGTTCTTTTGCGCGCGGGAAGGGATACGTCTGGACTGCACTCGGCGACGGGGAGAGGCAAGAGGTTGATCAGACCTCCGTTGCCTGCTTTAAATGCACTGGGTCCGTAAGGATCCGCAGCGCTTAGAGATCTTCACACAGCGTGAAGTCTCCTCCTCCCTTGTTCGTGGAGTCCTCCAACTTGGGCGGAAACCACTCAAGCCTTTTATACGTCTAGCAAACCAATCACTAGCCGCCACGTGTGAATAATTTAGAACTGGCCAATAATGGGACTCGAATTCGCATACAAATGACGGGAACTCTTTGCAACGAGCATTTCTGTGCTGCAACAAAGAAATGCACCCTGCAAAGAAAGCTTCAAATTGGCGGGAAATTCTCCCTTGCACCGGGGTTCTCCTCTGCAGCAGAAAACTCCACCGTGCAAAGAAGCTGTAATTTAGCGGGAACAATTTAGCAGTGCCGAAGCACACA